TGGCCGGGCGCTAGGTGGGGGGTTGGTGTTGTCCCGATTCCCACTCATTCCAGCAGGGAAGGGAGCAGGACTTGCTTTGCTGTGAGGTGGCTCACACTAACGGCCTTTTATTTCCCCCTTGCTGCCCCTGGCTTCCTGCAGGCAATGGTAAGTGTCCCCCACCCCAGTTTCCCTGGGGTCTCAGACATGCCTCGAGAAGCTCTGCCATGTTGGGGCTGAACTGGGAATGTTGTGGGCTACTGAGCTGGTTCCACCTGCTGCAGAGGGAGGTGGCACCTTGCAGCACTGGTAGCACTGGGAGCCCATACAGCCAGCACCCACCCCTATAAGGAGTGGGCACCCGTCCCAGGCCTTTTATAGCCACTGGGACCCCAAAGGAGTGCGAAAGGGACACCCCATGCTCTGCTGTATCTAGGAATTGTGTTTATTTCCCACAGTCTCTGGTCCAGTCCAGGAAAGCAGGAATCACGTCCGCACTGGCCTCGAGCACCCTGAACAATGAGGAGCTGGTAGGTGCTGGGGTTGCCTGGGGTGTGGGGCGGTTATGGTGGGAGGGCTGACACCCAGTCGGCTGGGCCAGCACTGGAGCCGTGGGCTCTGCGCCACACTAGCATCCTCCCCTGGCGATGCCAAAGCAGCAAGGATGCCCACAGCTGCACCTGGGGATGGTGATGTTCAGCCCCTGCCCTGCTTGCCCACACCCAGCAGTGACATTGCAGGTGGCCCAGCCCCTGCGGATGGGGTCTTCACATCCTGTTTCACGGCTCCACTGCAGTATGCTGCCTGAGCTTTCCTCCTCCTCTCTTTTCCCTCCTTCCACAGAAAAACCATGTTTACAAGAAGACCCTGCAAGCCTTAGTGTATCCCATCTCCTGCACGACGCCCCACAACTTTGAGGTGTGGACGGCCACAACCCCCACCTACTGCTATGAGTGCGAGGGGCTGCTCTGGGGCATTGCCCGGCAGGGCATGCGCTGTGCCGAGTGTGGAGTCAAGTGCCATGAGAAGTGCCAGGACCTACTCAATGCTGACTGCCTGCAGAGTAAGGAGCTGTTGCCTGCAGCCTCATCCCTTTACACTTTGGAGGGAGGAGGGAGTGGCCCAGGGGGAGCCAGAGTCCTGCCTTGTGCATGGGAAAATGGTGAGCAGGGCAGATCTGTCCTGGGCAGGGTGTAGACCCCGCCAGGTTTGAATTCCTTCATGCATGGTATGTTTGGGGAGCTCTCTGCTCTCTCCTGGATGCTGCTGGCCCCCTGTGTCTCACCCCTGGCTGTCCTCTCCCAGGGGCGGCGGAGAAGAGCTCCAAGCATGGAGCGGAGGACCGGACCCAGAATATCATCATGGTGCTCAAGGACCGCATGAAGATACGGGAGCGCAACAAGCCAGAGATATTTGAGCTGATCCAGGAGGTGTTTGGGGTCACCAAGACCACGCACACGCAGCAGATGAAGGCAGTGAAGCAAAGTGTCCTGGACGGCACCTCTAAATGGTCAGCCAAGATCAGCATCACAGGTAGGCACCGCCTGCACCTGGCACCATGTACCATGGGGGACCATGTGGGTATCCCCTTGCACAAGGATGCTGCGTGCTCGAACCCCCCTTTTCTCCCTCATCCTGCAAAGTGGCTTCAGTCCCCGGGGCTCTGCTGGGGGGACACAAGGGGCCTGTTGCGGGGATCTTGGTGTGGCTGTGGCACTTACTCCTCTCTCTGTTCTCTCCACTGTGTGTCATGTGGATATGCACGCATGCTGTGCTGTGCCATGCTGCTCTGCAGTTGTTTGTGCCCAGGGCCTGCAAGCAAAGGATAAGACGGGTTCCAGTGACCCCTATGTCACTGTCCAGGTTGGAAAGACAAAAAAAAGGACTAAAACTATCTACGGCAATCTCAACCCAGTCTGGGAGGAGAATTTCCATTTGTAAGTTCATCCCTGGCCCCTCTGTCCTCCTTCCTGGCCAGTCGCGGTCAGGCTGGGCTGTGTAGTCTGTCCCTGTGGGGAGGTGGGGACTTTCATCCTGCCCCAGCTGAGGGTGGAGGGGGCTGCTGGGGTCACTGAGGGTACTGGTTTTATGCCATGGAGGGTTTGGGTCCCAGTGATGGGGCAGATCCAGGCTGCTTTGTACCCAGGCACGGTGCCTGCTGAGCCCACCGAGGATGGTTGGTGCCCCCTATATCCTATCCCTATATTACCCAGTTCCTGCCTATATCCTATCCCTATATTACCCAGTGCCTGCCTGGTGCTGGGATGATCCCTCTTGTTTACGGAAACAGAGGTTGTAAAGAGTCTGGAAAGGTTTCCCTGCTCATCCCGTGACTTGCCCCTTCTCATCTCTCCAGTGAGTGCCATAACTCCTCCGACCGCATCAAGGTCCGTGTCTGGGATGAAGATGATGACATCAAGTCGCGTGTCAAGCAGCGCTTCAAGAGGGAGTCCGATGACTTCCTGGGCCAGACAATCATTGAGGTCCGGACCCTGAGCGGGGAGATGGACGTCTGGTACAACCTCGGTAACTGGCTGCCCTGGCATGGCTCGCTCAGGCTAGGATCCACGTCCCTGTGCTTACTGTGGGGGATGTGCTGCCAGCCTGGCATGGAGGCTGTTGCAGCACAGTGTTCGGTCTGCTGTTAAAAGCACTTGAGAGCCATTGGGATAAAGTGTTTTCCCTGGGTCATTCTCAAAACCCTTTGCACAGGAGGTCTGAAGCACTGGCCCTCTGCAGAGGGGAAACTGAGACACAGAGGGGCCACATCTCTGTAGTGCCTGGAGATGTGGCCAAATCCCACTCTGCAATGCCTTGGTGGCATTGTACCCTGGTCAGGCTGCACTTGGGTCTGGGTGTCCGTCTGACCCTGGCCCTAAGAGCCCCACCGTGCTGGAGCTGACTGCCCCTCTTTGGGGCCAGGAGAGAGCAGAGTTGCTCTGGGGAAGCCTCACATCTCGTTCCCCTTCCTGTACCTCCGCAGACAAGCGGACAGACAAGTCGGCAGTGTCAGGAGCCATCCGACTGCACATCAGTGTGGAGATCAAAGGCGAGGAGAAGGTGGCTCCCTACCACGTGCAGTATACCTGTCTGCACGAGGTGAGCAGCTCAGGCAGGCGTCGGGTGCTTGGCCCCCACCCCAGCAATGCCACCGTGTCACCACTGTCCTGGAGATGTGACAGGACTCATTTGTACCTCCAGAACTTGTTCCACTTTGTAACGGATTTGCAAAACAATGGAGTAGTGAAGATCCCTGATGCCAAGGGGGATGATGCCTGGAAGGTGTACTTTGACGAGACAGCGCAGGAGATCGTGGATGAGTTTGCCATGCGCTATGGGGTCGAGTCTATCTACCAGGCCATGACGTGAGTCCCTTGCACTCCACCCTGCTCAAAGGGGCTGTGCTAGCCCTGAATGTGGGGGGGTCACTGGCATCTTCCTCCTTTGCTGCTGTTCGCATCTGCCTCCCCGCCACGGGTGCAGACATGCTCCCCTAGCTCATGCCCCACCCACATGCCCTTCCCTCCACTTCTCTGTGCGTGCACCCCAAACCCCACGCCCCTTCCTACAGGCAACCCCTTCCGCGGCCCTGCACTCTCACCCTCTACCTCCTTCTGCAGGCATTTTGCCTGCCTTTCCTCCAAATACATGTGCCCGGGGGTACCGGCAGTGATGAGCACCCTGCTAGCCAACATCAACGCCTACTATGCCCACACCACGGCTTCCACCAACGTCTCGGCCTCTGACCGCTTTGCCGCCTCCAATTTCGGGGTAAGTCCGATGGTGCGTAAACACTCCTTCCTTCTTCTCTCTCTTTTCTTGGGAGGGGGTGGGGGGCTCCAGGGGCAAAAAGGGCCATGCAAAGCACCCTGCTCCAAACTGCCGTAGGGGGTCAGCCCCTGATTGCCCTGAAATTCGTCCTGCTCCCATTTTTCAGGAAGGAAAAGAGCCACACCTTCCTCAGAGAAGGTCTAAATTTGCTCCCCAAATTACTATGGTAAAACCATGACTGGAGTTTGATCTGGCTGGGTTGCTAGGCAGCAGTGTGGTAGGAGAGGGAAGGCTTGGTGGCAAAATCCCAAGCAGGTGATGAGGAGCTATCCCTGCAGCTTGGTGGGAGCTTTGCATGGCGTTGTGTGCTTTGGGCGCAGCCCGGGACTGCTGCAAATTCACCAGCCTGTGCCAGCATGCTTGCCCATTGTGTGCGAGGCAGGTTTGTGCCAGGGCTGTGTGCGTCCTTGGGGACATAGGCAAGGCGGTGGGGGTGGGGGCTGAGCTCTTGCCCCAGCTCCCCCTGTGTTGTCCCAGAGGCAGCAGCTAGTTGCTGTGGATGCACACAGGTCAAGCCAGGATCAGTTCCAGCCCCGGGTCAGTCAAAGTGTGGGTAACCAGGGATGCAGCCAGGGCCAAGTGCAGCTCCAGGAAGCGACTGCTTGGCTCACCTCCTGGTTCCCATTGCAGAAGATAGCTAGAGCCAAGCGAGCTGAGCCTCCCGCTCACGCAGAAGGAGGAAATCTTATATATATAAAAAAGCACCTTTTCTCTAACGTGGAGGGTTTTAAAAACTTGTTTCTTTCTCTTTTTTTAGAGAGCCTAAGGTTGGGTCCTAAAGTGCCCGGCCGTGTCGCTTTAACCCTGAGTATCCGTCATGTCCACTTTTAAAGCGCTGCAGCATTCGGTGGTGGGGACGCACGGTCTTGGCCCAGAGCCTGGCTTTGCTGTCTCTGGTGGGCGAGCCGAAGGTTTGCGGTGGCCAGTGCAGGCTGTGGGCTTGGCCGGGCTGTGGCCAGGCGGGTGCAGGACTTGCTGCCCCATCCCATCCCTTGTTCTTGCCTCCAGGACTTGGGGAACTGCTCTGGGCTCTCCAGAGCCCAGTAGGGCAACCCTGACCTGATACAAGTGGTGCTGTGGGGGAAACCTAGGGCTCTCGTGGGAGGCCCATGGCATTGTCAAAAGCCCCGTCCCCCCTCCCCTCCCCCTAAGCAGAGATGCAAAGTGAAATACACCCCAACAGTTTGGGTCAGATGGGCTGCTTTGCTCTCAGCTCTTGATGCCCAGTCTGCAGCCCAAGGTGGGATTTGCATTCTCCTGCCCAGTGCTCCCTGGATGAGATGGGCTGAGCTGCATTAAAGCCACTAGGCCCAAATAGGGACCATCTACCTGGGGCAGGTCCCTGCCCACATTCCTTGATGCAGCCTGGTTGGGGCAGCAAGGAGCCCATGGAGTCATCCACTCCCAGGGCCCATCCTGTCCTGGTCTTGAAGCAGCTCGGCCCCAAATATGGGCGACTGCTGCAGGTGCCCTGCTGCTCTTCCCCTGCCCTTTTCTCCTGAGCTCTTTGAAAGCTTCAATCCTGGGGCCACAAGGCCCAGGGGCATGATCCAGGGCCCCTCCCTCCTCGCTCCTGCCCCGAGCCCAGTCTCGGAGGTGTTCAGGTGGGTAGGGAAGATAGACCAGCCCATCCCCCCTCCAGTGAGAGCAAAGGGGATGCAGGATGTTGCCCCTCACCGTGTGCTCTGGGAGCCATTGACGGCTGCCAGTGAGCCCCAGCCACTGGTGAGGGCACTGTCTTCTCCGTGGGCATCCTGTGATGAAGGAAGGAGGGAGGGAGGGATGGAAAGACAGCAGGACAGCAGGAAGGAGAGGCATAAGCCAGGGACAGCGTGGGCTGGGCTAGGGCCAGAGAGAGCCAGGGGCAGTGGGAAGGGGAGATGGTCCCTGCCGCCTTTCCTCTGTTCACCTGGCTCTGGGGCATTTCTTCGCAGAAGGAACGGTTCGTCAAACTCCTTGACCAGCTGCACAACTCCTTGCGGATTGACCTCTCCATGTACCGGGTAAGGTACCTGTTGTGCCTCAGTTTCCCCACCTGTTTGATAAGATCTAAGCCAAGAGGCAGCCGTTTTCTCCCCCTCCACTCACCCCTGTGAGAATTTTTTCTGCAACTCCACACTTTCCTTTCCCTTTGGCAGAACAACTTCCCTGCCAGCAGTCCAGAACGGCTGCAGGATCTCAAGTCCACGGTGGATTTGCTGACCAGCATCACCTTCTTTCGGATGAAGGTATTGCCGGGGAGCCTGACCCTTGCTGGCAGGGCTGGGGTCACACGGGCCCCGTGATACCTTCTGGGTGGCTGGTTGAGGCTGCAGGTCTGGCTCCAGCACTGCTCCCTCCCTGGACACCCAGGTCCAGGAGCTGCAGAGCCCCCCCCGAGCCAGCCAGGTGGTGAAGGACTGTGTGAAAGCCTGCCTCAACTCCACCTATGAGTACATCTTCAACAACTGTCATGAGCTCTACAGTCGCGAGTACCAGACGGACCCGGTGCGTGGGGCAGGGGGAGCTGGGACATACTGGGATGCTGGGCACTGCGGCAGGACCTTGCTGCCCCCCTGCTGACCTTCTCCATCCCTTGTCCTTCTTTGTGCGATGCTCCTGCTCCCTCTCCAGAGTGCTCAGCCCCTTGCAGAATGAACCCCAAGCCTTGGGCGGGGTTTGAACCCCACTGCAGTGGGGTTGAGACTGGGGCCAGACAAGGGGGGAGCTGTGTGGGGACCTCCAGGGTGTTCCCAGACCCCTCCTGCCTCCCTGTTAACCCCACTTGAAATAGAGCCCCACGGGTGGGGTGACTGGAGCATCCGCTGTGTCCCCATTACTCCAGACTAAGAAAGGCGAGGTACCTCCTGAGGAGCAGGGCCCCAGCATCAAAAACCTGGACTTCTGGTCTAAGCTCATCACCCTGATAGTCTCCATTATCGAGGAGGACAAGAACTCCTACACGCCCTGCCTGAACCAGTGAGTAGGTGCCGGTACAGGGGACCCTGTGCACCCAGGGGGCGTGCCTGCACAGCAGCAAGGGTAACTACCATCCTTTAGAAGTGGTTTGTAACATCCATCCTATTGCCTATGCAAGATGGGGAAACTGAGGCAGGTGGAAGGTGTGGGGGACATGTATCTCCAAGTGGAGGGCTGGTCCACCCTGTGGCCACGCTTTCCCCCACCCCAGGTTCCCCCAGGAACTGAATGTGGGAAAGATCAGTGCCGAGGTGATGTGGAACCTCTTTGCTCAGGACATGAAGTACGCAATGGAAGGTAAGTGATCCCACACTTCCCCAAGATGGGTGAGGGGAGCGCCGGCAGGAGCCACGCTCTTCTCCCACCTCAGCTGTTCCCTGTGCAAACCCATTTCACCCCTCACCAACAAGACACTTAGCTTAAACCTCACCCAAGAGCATTTCCATCTTTACCCCATTCCCCTGGCATCCCCAGAACTGCACTTGGGGGCAACCACCCCCCAGGTTTGGGGCTCAAAGCAACCCCTGTGTGCACTCACTTTGCCTGTGCAGAGCACGACAAGCATCGCCTGTGCAAGAGCGCAGACTACATGAACCTGCATTTCAAGGTGAAGTGGCTGTACAATGAGTATGTCACTGAGTTGCCTTCCTTCAAGAGCCGTGTGCCCGAGTACCCTGCGTGAGTGCAGCCCTTGGAGGGACAGGGGAGGGGTTGCTTCTGGCCCAAGGGCTAGCTGACTGGCCTCACTGGGGATGGGCCTCTCTTCCAGTTGGTTTGAGCCCTTCGTTATCCAGTGGCTGGATGAGAATGAAGAGGTGTCACGGGATTTCCTGCATGGAGCGTTGGAGCGGGACAAGAAGGATGGGGTATGAATAGGAGATGTAGCCAGGGGTGGTCAAGAGGCTTGTCCCTCCATGCCTAGTGTGTCCCCACTGGGGCCAAAATCTTCCCTCCATGCCTCCTGCTGACACTGCCTCTCTCTCCTCCAGTTCCAGCAGACGTCAGAGCACGCACTCTTCTCTTGCTCCGTGGTGGATGTCTTCTCTCAGCTCAACCAGAGCTTCGAGATCATCAAGAAGCTTGAGTGCCCTGACCCCCAGATTGTTGGGCACTACATGCGAAGGTTTGCCAAGGTGGGCAGCTGCCAGGGTGGGGGCCACTGAGCCAGCAGCACCATAGGGACCCCTGGCCAAGGGCTTCTGGGCTCTCTGCCACCTTCCATCCATCTGAAGGCAGCTGTATAGGGCAGAGATTGCACCACCTCTCACAGTGATGCTCAAGTGAAACATGCCACCAACAGTCCTTTGGGCTTTCCCAGCTTTGCTAGCACAGGGGATTAGCTAATTATTGAGTTAATTTGCTAATTAATCAAGATTAATTAAATGTTGCTGGCTCGCTGCAGTTGGGGGGAGTTGTGTGTGGGTTTGATGACTGATACTGCCACAGTTGTGCTGGCGACAGAACTGCTTCTGGAGACCAGATATGATGGATTTGGTTTCCAGGGTCTGTGACCATGTGGCTCCTGGAGCATCTGTGGGGCCAGAAGGTTGAGAGGGGTCCCAGGGTGTATCCAGACATTGGGTTGTTTTGCTGATGTGGGACTCATGGTCTCCTTCTCTCCTTCCTTCTTCGTCTTTGCCGCTGTCTGTGTGGGTCCCATTCCTCATTTGGCTGCAGACCATCAGCAATGTGCTACTCCAGTATGCTGAGATCATCTCCAAGGATTTTGCCTCCTACTGCTCCAAGGAGAAGGAGAAAGTGGTGATGTATCTCCCTTCTGCTTGCCACCTGCCTGGTGCTGCCAGGCAGGACTGTCCCCACATGCTGACCCCAGCCATCACTAGCTCCAGAGCTGGTCCCCATGACACAGATCCTGCCCTCGATCTTTGTCTGAGGACAGTCCCTGAAATGGTGCGAAGCAGGGCCCTGTGATCCCCAGCACAGGGTGAAAGGGACCTGAGGCAGTGGGTAGCTGTTGAAGCC